TTCCCCCCCCCCCCCCCTCTCTCCCTCGTCGTTCTCTTTCATCTCTCACTCTACTCCCTCTTCTGCTGTCTTCACTCGTCCAATCCCTCTTCCCTCCCCCCTCCTCTCCCCTCCCCTCTTGTCCCCATCTTCCTATTCCTCTCCTCTCTCCCCCTCCTCACTCCTCTTGTCTAGGGACACGAAGTTCGCTGCACTAGCCGACAAGCTGCGGGCTCGATCTGGCTCGCACGTGCTCGTGCATGCTATCCAGGGATGTTCGCATGCAATAGTGGAAGAGCAACCAGATGCCACCGCACGGGAGATCGTCAGGTAGGAGAGGGAGACTGAGGAGCGGGAAGAGTGGGGAAGGAGCAGGAGACAGCAGAAAGTGAGGGCAGAAGCTGAAAGAGGAGGAGGTGGAGCAGCAGAGTGCAGGAGCAGAGGGAGGGGGAGGGAGAAACAGTGGTGGAGGAAGAGGTCTTGCGCAGAGGAGCAGGAGCGAGCTGCTCAGTCGCTGATCGCCTTGTCAGGTTTCTCTCGACTGATTCTCTTCCAACAACCGTTGGATCGTCAGACTGCGACAACCTCATGATCGCCTCGGTGCAGGTGAAGAAACCCCTCTCCTCCTACCTCGCCCGAAGGCTCCTCCTCCTCCTCCTCCTCCCACCGCCGCACACCGCCCCCGCCCCACCGCCGCTGCCGCCGCCGCCACCACCACCGCCACCTCTTCCTCCTCCTCCTCCCACCTCCTCCTCCTCCTCCCACCTCCTTCTCCACTCTCCTCCTCTCTCCCTCCCTGCCGCCGCCGCCGCCGGTCCAGCTGACCTGCCTTCAGGTCCGGCGGATGGACGTGAAGCTCAAGGACCCGCTGCAGCTGAGCCGAGGAGACGCGATGACGCTCAGGAAGGGCTTCTTGATCGAATGCATCAGCATGGGAGGGTAAGACAGACATGCTCCATACACTAACCTCCTCCTCCCTCCTCCCTCCTCCTCCTCCCTCCTCCTCCTCCCTCCTCCCTCCTCCTCCTCCCTCCTCACCTCCTTTCTCTCTCCCTCCTCACCTCCTCCTCTCTCTGCTCCCCTTGTCCTCGTCCTCTCCTCCCCGGCATTCCTCCTCCTTCTCCCCTCCCTCCTTATGCTCCTCCCCCACTCCTTTTTGCTTCTTCCTCCTCCTGTCTCCCTCTGTTCTCGACCTCGCTGACGTCCTGGCAGGCATGTGGGAGTGGGTGAATGTACTCCCTTGCCAGGGTTTCATGAGCAGACGTATGAGGAGGTGGAGAGACAGATTCTAGATGCGTGCAAGGTGAGAGTTTCCTTTCTTCCTCCTCCTCCTCCTCTTCCCCTCCTCTCCCTTCCTCCTTCTCCTCCTCTCCCCTCCTCTTCCTCTCCCCTCCCCTCCTCCTCCTCCTCTTCCCCTCCCCTCCTCCTCCTCCTCTTCCCCCTCCCCCTCCTTCTCCTCTCACATTATCTCATCCTACTTTCATAGTGTCTCTGTGGGCGGATCGTTCCTCGTGCCATCGCGAACTTCGACGGCTCCTTCACCCGCTGGCTCTTCGGAGAGATATCGTGAGATCTCTCCTCCTCCTCCTCCTCCTCCTCCTCCTCCTCCTCCTCCTCCTCCTCCTCCTCCTCCTCCTCCTCCTCCTTTTCCCTCCCGTGTCCTCCTCTCCTCTCCCTCTTCTTCCTCTTCCTACTCCTCTCTGTCGCTCTCCCCACTTCTTTCCTCTTCTCTTTCCCTTCCTTCCCTGCATCACCTTTCTCCTTCCACCCCCTACATACCCCTCCAGCTCTAACCCCAGCTGCCTCCAGCGACGTGGAGAAGTTCGCGCAATGGCACTTCGACGTTTCCCAGGTTGGCCGTCAGCTCCCAGCTGAGAGCATTTCCCCCGTCGTCCTGGCGGCGCTCGAGATGGCACTAGTCCAGCTGGTCTCTCATGCTCTAGAGCGGCCCCTCTGCCGTGTCCTCTCGCCCCCCTCCTCTGGGCACAGCAAGGTCCTGCCCCCGCTCGTCCCCAGCTGAGCGATCCTTACTGACACGCTGAAGCAGCTCCGCTCATTCGTCAGCCTAAACGGCTTGATGACGCGAGGAGAAGTCGAGCTGCCCCGTTCCTGCAGCTCTAGAGTTGTCAAGGTCAGTAGCCTCCTCCTCCTCCTCCACTGTCTCGTCCTCCTCCTCCTCCTCCTCCTCCTCCTCCTCCCTCCTTCCCCTCCCCCACCTCCTCCTTCTCTTCCTCTTGTCTTTCTCCTATCTTTCGTGTGACCCGCTGGATCAGGTGAAGGTTGGGGGAAAGGAGGACGTCAAGAAGGAGGCGGAGGAGCTGAGGGATCTTGTCAAGAAGGCGAAGGAGGAGGGATGGAAGTTGCGGCTAGACGCCAACAGGTGCTGGGACCTCGAGCAGGTGAAGTCGAGGCCTCTTCTCTCTCTCCTCTCCTTCCCTTCCCACTCGTGTCCTCCTCTTCATCTCCAGTCCTTGCCCTCAAGTTCTTCCCGCTCGTCCTTTCCTCTTCCGCTGCTCTCCTTCCTCTCAACTTGTCCTAGTCTACTACTCCTCTTCCTTCTCTTCCTCATCCCTCACCATCCCCTTCTACCTCCCCTCCCTCCCTCCCTCCCTCCCTCCCTCCCTCCCTCCCTCCGTCTTCTCTTTTCTCTTTCCTGAACTCCTCGCAGGCTGTTCAGTTCGTCTCCAGCATCGGCTTTGACAACCTGAGTGTCATCGAGTACATCGAGGAGCCGTTGACGGACTTCCGGCAGCTCCCGCGCTTCTTCCAGCAGACAGGCCTCAGCTACGCGCTTGACGAGTCTCTGCTCGACGACAGCTGGGAGGAGCTGGCGCAGGACGCGGGGCTGGCGGCGCTTGTGCTGAAGCCGACGCTGCTGGGGGGTCTAGAGCGCTGCTGCCAGCTGAAGCTGCGGGCGCGGGAGGGGGTGAAAGCGGTCCTGAGCTCGGCGTTCGAGAGCGGTCTGGCCCACTGCTTCTATGGCATCGCTGCTGGGGTTCTGCTGGACGTGGAAGAGGCGCATGCTCATGGGCTGTCGACGTTCGAGCGACTGGAGACGGATAGTCTCACTGTTCCGATGAGCCAGACGGTGAGAGACTCTCCTCCTCCTCCTCCTCTCCCCCTCCTCCTCCTCCTGCGGGTCAGCCGTAGACCCTCCGCAGCATCTTCGTCAACAACAACAAGCAGTCGTGGGCGAGCATGACCATGAGCGGCGTGATAAGGAGCGCTTCACCATCATCTGGTGTGATCAGCCACTACTGGACTACTATATTAACATCCTCGTCGGCGGCCGCTCATCCCCGGCGGATAATGC